ACACCATTATTTCTAGAATTAAACTAAAGCTCGTAAAGGTTTTGGGTTACCTCCCAAACAGCGCCTTAGTTAACGTCGTGGCACGACGCAAGTCAATGCTTAAATCAAATTTTTGGGGTTGCACCTAGTGCATCTAGGTGATCCCACTTGTTCATGCGGATGAGCCTAAGGAAGCACATGACTTAGGAGAGTTTCGATTAGTTGGATAGATCTAGAGTGAGAGTTGCTCATCTGATTTAGCACTTTACACTTTCTGTAATCTTTTCTAGCACCCTATCTTGCTCATTTAGCTTATGAAGAATGATTAATAGCATATCTTCGATACACTTATTTTCACTATCCATAGATCCTCTTTGCTCAGTCTTTGGCCTGCATTTGCTTTGATCTCTGGACACCATCTCCAATTCCTCGATCTTGTGGGTCAATTTATCCATCTGACTTAGCAAAATGATCAGTTGTTGGTCCTTCTCAGTGTCCTTGTTGATTTTAGCTGCAAGGTCAAGGAATTGGGTTGCGGTCTCATATGGGTATTTTTCACGGTCACTTGGCATAATTTGGTTCATTATTTCTCTGTTTCCATGATTTAGACCCCTGTATAAGCATTTCAGTAGAGCTACAATGGGTATTTCATGAGTTGGACATTGCGTCAATAGTGTTATAAACCTCAGCCATGACTCATGAAAGGGTTCTCCTTCTAGATGCTTGAAATTCAGGATGTGATCCCTGAACCTCATCACTACTGCTGGAAGGTGCTCCATTGGTCCACCATATCCATCATGTATACTCATTTTCCTGCCTCAACATGTAAACAACTAGACAAAACTAAGAATTAGGTAAGTAAACTAGTACTAATAAGACCAACAATTCTATTAAACTAAAAATTCTCAAATAACACCACTCCCCGGCAGCGGCGCTATTTTGATGCATATTGTGACCAATGACACTATCCTAGGGTATAGGTGTCTACGATCGTCGATAATATAGTAGCCCAACCAAGGGTTGAGGTCGTGTCCCAAGGGAGCAATTTTGAGAATCAGTAGCCAATTAGAATTTCGTTCGAATTAGTCATAGATAAAAATATTTGCGATAAAATACATTGTAAATGAAAGGGAGTGACACAGAAGTGTCAATTATCAAAAGGGATTTTGTAACAAGTGATAAAACAACAAAATAAACAAGAAAATCAAGTATGGGGAAGGTTCTTGGGATGTTGCCGCAATACACGTTGAGATAAATCGTTGGGTACATGCTTTCAATAGGAAATTTGCAAGATAATAATGACTAGGCTAAGCTTTAAATGGAAATAAGTTTCCTCTCGGGCAACTTACCCCGTTTCAAATGCGTTCCTCTCGGACACCCATTTGCCGCAAAAAGCCAGCCTACGCTTTACCCCACTCACTCTCTCGAGCTGAGTGTTAGGATATGGTACTAGAGGGGTTGAACCTCATGTCGACCCACTCCTTAGGCCATCAATCTAGTGGTTTTTGTTTCGCGACCTCCCTCTGGGGCAAGCCGAAAACATATGGGTGGCTTTGTATTTGCAACTATAAACTCTTTAGAATAAACCACAACCACCAGGTGAAATCACCATTAAAATATATCTAACTTATCAGCAAGCAAGAACCAACAATAATATCAACCCATATTTGCTAAATCACACCCCAAGAATGGGGTTTTTTAGCCACACATTAAGAAATAAGAAATTATACCTAACATGATAAAGAAATCAATTTGGTATAAGAAATTAAACCTTGAATTAAGCTACGGAAGAAGAATAAAGAAGACCCACTTCCAACTTGGGGAAGATGAACTCCTTTCTTCAAGTCTCCACAAAACCTTCTCCAAACTTGAGAGAAAAATATTGAAAAATACTATAAACTAATAATAATTTTACTCTAAAATTGTTCCACACTAAGACTACACATCTAACTAGTATTTATAGTTTTCACAGATTGTGCTGCAGAGGATCATTCGACGACATTAGACGAGATCGGCGATGAACTCGGCGATCCACTTTTTAATCAGCTCATCGCCTTCAATGTCTTGCCTTTAGCATCCTCGTATTATGGATCATTGGGCAGTACAGTACTGCTTCGCGGAACTAATCCGCGACTCACCGACTGCTCCTTTCCTCGCCTTTTGATCCACTTCCTTCAAGGCTTCGTGTATTGGAACAAAGGGCGGTGCATGTCAATTCGGTGACTCACCAATTTGGACTCGGCGATCTGCAAACTTTCATTTCTTGTTTTTTTCAGCCCTTTTTGCTCCGTTTTGCGCCTAAGTGTCCATGCTTCCAGTAAAACTTCAAATACCTGAAACTTAAGCCTTTTAATCAGGTATTGAGATAAAACAAGCATTCGAGGACACTATTTCTATTAAAATAATGCCCTAAATGTGTCCAATTTGTGGACTCATCATTGACCCAAATGGAAGTTCAGCAGGAACACATAGAATGGAACTTGTGGAGTGTTCAGAGTTGAGGAGGGTTCGTCCTCAAGCTATTCAAAGCCTAGGGAGAATCAAGGTTGGAACTCCATAAGAAGTAAGGAGGGTTTCTACCCACGTTATTTGCAGTGAGGTGGAAATCAAGGTTGGAACATAAGGAAGTTGAGCAAAGGAGATGCCACTAAGATTTTTCCTATTGGAGAAGAGAGGTTGAATATGAAGAGAACCATACCCACTCAAGTGAGAGCCCAAAATCAAGGGGAGGTGCAAGGGATGAAAGCCGACTTCTCATCCTTGAACAGTAAAGTAAACTCGCACGCAGACACAATCAATGTCCTTGAAGGTCAATTGAGTTTACTTTCAATACAATTGAAATAAAATATGGTGACATAAGATGAAGATAAAGGACTGACCGTTGTCACTCGGAGCGGAAAAGAAGTAAAAGGTGATGTGACGGGTAACGAAGAAGAGCACACGCGGAATGAAGGCAAAGATATAGAGGAAGAAGAGATAACCATTCCTCATGACATTACAAAAGAGCCACAAAGTGAGAAGGAAAAGCACAAGCCATGCCTAAAAGCCAAGCAACCTTTACCTAAAATATCTCTTCCATTTCCTCAACACCTCAAGAAAAAGAATGAGGAAGAGAAGTTCAAGAAGTTTCTAGTTGAAGCATTGTTGGAAATGCCGGGTTACGCAAAATTCATGAAGGAGTTAGTAAAAAAAAAAAGAGTTTGGATTTTGAGACGATCGAAGTCTCTCACAGTTGTAGTGCAATTATGACGAAGGAGCTGATCGAAAAGAAAGATGATCGTGGAGCATTCACCATCCCGTGTTCTATAGGCATTCTCAAGTTCGCAAAAGCCTTCTGCGATCTTGGAGCAAGTATTAATCTAATGCCTTATGCTATTTATAAACAACTCGAGTTGGGTGAACCACAGGCTACAACTTTGAGACTTTTTGATGGCTGACAGATCTATCAAACATCCAATGGGAATACTTTATGACATTTTGGTTAAGGTTGACCGATTTTTTTTCTAGCTGATTTAGTCATACTCGACTGTGACATAGATTCCGAAATTCCTATTATCTTGGGGAGGCCATTCTTGGCAACTAGGAGAGCATTGGATGATGTTGAGAGCGGGGAGCTGAAATTTTGGGTTAATGAAGATGAAGTCACCTTTGATGTGTGCAAATCAATGAAACACCCGAGTGACATTCATCTAATCTCAACTGATGATATGATTGACGAGGCAGTGGCTAGAGTGAGCCATTTGATGTGCAGCAAATAACCACTTGAAGTTGTGTTGGCTAACGATATAGAGTTTGAGGTTCAAGGCCAAGATGAAGTGGTAGCCGCATTTTCAAACATGGGGGGATTTACAAAAACTCCAGTGAAATTGGACATCGATTTAAAAAACTAAGAGAGCCTTCCCACCAAGCCATCAACCGAAGAACCACCAAATCTCGAGCTGAAGGTATTGCCCTCTCACCTCCGGTATGCTTTCTTAGGTTCAAATAACATCTTGCCGGTGATTATTGCAGCCGATTTACTTTATTGGCAAGTAAAATGGCTGCTTGAAGTACTGATAAGGCACATAAAAGCCATCGATTGGACTATTGCTGATATAGTGGGCATCCCTCCAGGCATATGCAATCACAAAATTTAGCTTGATAGCGATTGTTAACGGAGTGTTGAACATCAGCGAAGACTAAACCCGTCGATGCAAAAGGTGGTGAAAAAGGAAATAATAAAGTTGTTGGACGCAGGAGTGATCTACCGTATTCCAGATAGCAAATGGGTTAGTCTGGTGCAATGTTTACCCAAAAAGGGAGGAGTCATGGTTGTCCCTAATGACAAAGGGGAGCTTGTATCTATGCGACTGGTGACATGTTGGAGAGTTTGCATGGACTATCGGAAGCGAAATTCATGGACTGAAAAGGATCATTTCCATATGCCCTTTATGGATCAAATGCTTGACCGACTATCCGAGAGTGGGTGGTATTGCTTTTTGTATGGGTATTCTGGCTATAACCAAATCTCCATTGCTCCAGACGATCAAGAGAAAATAACCTTTATATGCCCTTATGGTACTTTTGCCTTCAAACGAATTCCATTCGGATTGTGTAATGCCCCGGCTACGTTCCAACGTTGCATGCTATTCATCTTTGCTGACATGGTGGAAGACTCAATGGAAGTATTTATGGATGATTTCTCAGTTGTGGGTGACACATTTGCAGAATGCTTAGAGCACTTAGGACAAGTTCTCCAAAGATGCGTTGAGACCAATTTAGTCCTAAATTGGGAAAAGTATCATTTCATCGTTAAGGAAGGAATTGTGCTTAGTCACAAAGTATCACAAAGGTTGGAGTTGAACAAAGCAAAAGTTAAAGTAATTGAGAAATTACTGCCACCTATTTCAGTAAAGGGGGTTCAGAGATTTTTGGGACATGCCGGATTTTATAGGAGGTTCATCAAAGACTTCTCAAAGATTGCACTTCCTTGATGCAAACTTTTGGAAAAAGAGGTGAAATTCCACTTTGATGATACTTGTATGGTAGCTTTCAAATGCCGGAAAGAAAAACTGATTTCCACTCCTATCATCATTAGTCCTGATTGGTCAGAGCCATTTGAAGTAATGTGTGATGCAAGCGGTATGGCATTAAGCGTAGTGTTGGGACAGAAACGAAATAAACTTTTCCATCCCATTTACTATGCAAGCAAAACTTTAAACAATGCTCAACGTAACTACACAGTTACCGAACAAGATTGCTTCCAGTGGTTTATGCATTTGAGAAGTTTCGCTCATACTTTCTAGGTACAAAAGTGATTATTCACACTGATCATGATGCATTGCGTTATCTAATGGCAAAGAAAGACGCCAAACCAAGATTGATAAGGTGGGTGCTTTTATTGCAAGAATTTAACTTTGAGGTCAAAGATAGAAGAGGTTGTGAAAATCAGGTGGCTGATCAATTTTCAAGATTGGAAGGCAGGGAGAATGACGTGCTGGAGATCGATATAAACGATATTTTTCCCGATGAACAGGTATTCACGGTAACCCTCACACAACCCTCTTTGTATGCTAATTTTGCAAATTATTTAGTGTGTGGAGTAGTGGCAGACGAACTGAACTTCTACCAACAAAAGAGGTTCATGTTCGATGTTAAGAAATACTTTTGGGATGAACCATATTTATTTAGAGAGTGTACTGACCATATAATTATAAGATGTGTTCTGAAAGAAGAAGCTATTGAGATCCTGCATGCATGCTTTTCACGCTTCGCTGGTTGGAGGTTATCACAGTGGTGTATGAACAGCAGCTAAAGTTCTGCAAAGTGAGTACTACTGGCTGTGTCTATACAAATATTCTCATGAGTTTGTCAAGAAGTGCACGCAGTGTCAAAAGCAAGGTGGAGTGTCCAAAAGGCACGAGTTGCCTCTGACGCTAATTTTGGAAGTGGAACTATTTGATGTATGGGGAATTAATTATATGGGTCTATTTGTGAGCTCATTTGCCAATAAATATATCTTGGTGGCTGCGGATTATATTTCCAAATGGGTAGAGGTTGTAATCTTCCAAACAATGAAGGAAAAAGTGTTGTTCAATTCTTGAAGCGCTACATTTTTGCAAGGTTTGGGACTCCGCGAGCCATTATTAGCGATGGAGGATCACACTTTTGTAATAAATGGTTCTCAGCCGCATTGAGTAAGTATGGGGTGAAACACAAAGTAGCAACACCGTATCATCCCCAAACAAGTGGCCAAGTTGAAGTGTCAAACCGGGAGATCAAAAGCATTTTGGCTAAGAAAGTGAATGCAAATAGGACTGATTAGTCTCGAAAGTTGGATGACGCACTATGGGCATATCGCACCGCATACAAAACTCCTATTGGGATGTCTCCGTATCAACTAGTTTTTGGTAAATCTTGTCATCTACCAGTCGAGTTGGAACATTAAGCACTGTGGGCATTGAAAGCTTTAAATCTAGATTGGACAAAGACCTCAAGGGGGAGAGTGGAGCAGTTAAACGAATTGGATGAATTCAGATTCAGAGCTTATGATAGTTCAGCCCTGTACAAGGAAAAGATGAAGAAATGGCATGATGCTTAAATTCTTAAGAGGGAGTTTAGAGTGGGAGATAGGGTGTTACTATACAATTCCCAACTTAGACTCTTTCCAGGAAAACTCAAGTCCAAATGGTCAGGACCATTTAGAGTGACAAGAGTATACACCAATGGTGCCATAGAATTTGAGGGTCAAGAGGGACCTACATTTAAGGTGAATGCGCAACACTTAAAATTATACTTTGGAGATTGCCAGGAGATTTCTTTGATTGAGGTGGTGTACCTGGAAGATGCTTGAGAGCATTTCCACATCGTGCCACGAAGTTAAATAAGGCGCTTCTCGGGAGGAAACCCAAGTGTTAGTGTTTTAAATAATGTGTGTTGATTTTGCAGTAGTAGGGATCCTGAGCGAGACAAAAGTCTTCTTAGCGAGCTACCGAACAATTTCGGCGAGCACGACTTGGTTTGCCTTATGGATCTAAAAAATGAGACTAAGAGTCTGGAACTGAAACGACCCCAAAAATGCCCGAAAATGTGCTTCGGAAACACCTATAATTGTAATTTCCATATATCTCAAAATCCGTGCATGATTTTGGAAATTCGACTTCATATTGTTATTCAGGGGGTCAAATTGAGTGGGAAATGGGTCTAACCCAAATTTTAGAGCAACCTTATCAAAATTCAAAATTTCCAAGTGAAGCCTTTTTCGAGGGTCTACTTTGGAGGGTCATATCTCCTAGCACACAAATTAATTGGGTGGCCAATAATATATCCATGGAAAGCCCTTTGAGTTAGCTACCTAACGCACTTCGTTTCACCTCATTCGGAGTTCGGACGAAGAAGTTATGCCCATTTTCGTAAAATATGTCCGGCAGGAAAGGCAATTTCCAGTGAGCGTTTTACTGTTCACCCGCCTCATTTTTTTTCTAAGTGTTGGACCATTCTTCCAAAGGACATATATTATTTCCTAGATACCATTAGTCCAATTCCCATCCCTAAAAACATTTCCCTCTCCACAATCCTCCATTTAAGAAGAAGAAGAAGTGGGAGCTAGGGCTTGGATTCAAAGCTTTCTTCATCAAATTTTGTGGGAGAT